CAGACTCTACCACACTGGGGTGCCCTCTGAAACATCTGGAGTTGACTATTCCAGGGACCCTGCCCTGCTGCCCTGAGAACAGAGGGAATCACCATCTCAGGGCTCCCTTAAGGACAGGTTTTTTGTTGTTGTTGTTTTTCTTTTTTTTCTTTTTCTTTTTCTTTTTCTTTTTTTTTTTTTTTTTTTGAGATAGGATCTCACTCTCTCGCCCAGGCTGGAGTGCAGTGGTGCAGTCCTGCAGCCTCAACCTCCCGAGCTCAAGTGATCCTCCCACCTCAGCCTCCCAAATAGCTGGGACCAAAGGCACGTGCCACTACACTCAGTTAATGTGTGTATTTTTTGTAGAGATAGGGTCTCACTATATGTATTAGTCCGTTTTCACGCTACTGATAAAGACATACCAGAGACTGGGCAAGCCACAAAAGAAAGAGGTTTAATTGGACTTACAGTTCCATGTGACTGGGGAAGCCTCACAATCATGGAGGAAGGCAAGGAGGAGCAAGTCACATCTTACGTGGATGGCAGCAGGCAAAGAGAGGAGCGCTTGTGCAGGGAAACTCCCCTTTTTATAACCATCAGATCTTGTGAGACTTATTCACTCTCACGAGAACAGCATGGGAAAGACCTGCCCCCATAATTCAATTACCTCCCACGTGGGAATTCAAGATGAGATTTGGATGGGGACACAGCCAAACCATATCACTATGTTGCCCAGGCTGGTCTCGAACTCCTGGGCTCAAGCCATCCTCCCACCTGGGCCTCCCAAAGTGCTGGGATTACAGGCACGAGTCACCACGCCTAGCCTGTCATTTTCTTTTTAAATTTTCTTTCTTTCTTTCTTTCTTTTTTTTTTTTTGAGATGGAGTCCCTCTCTGTCGCCCAGACTGGAGTGCAGTGGTGCAATCTCAGCGCACTGCAACCTCTGCCTCCCGGGTTCAAGCGATTCTCATGCCTCAGTCTCCTGAGTAGCTGGGATTACAGGTGCCCACCACCATATCCGGCTACTTCTTTGTATTTTTAGTAGAGATGGGGTTTCACCACGTTGGCTAGGCTGGTCTCCAACTCTTGACCTCAGGTGATCTGCCCACCTCGGCATCACAAAGTACCGGGATTACAGGCGTGAGCCACGGCACTCGGCCGGGCCTGTCATTTTCTTACTATTACAGCTATCATTGGAATTATTGGTCATCTGCTGATGCATGGCTGTGAGCATTTCTTTTTCTTTTTTGTAGAGACAGGGTCTCTGTTGCCTACCTGGAGTGCAGTGGCGTGATCATAGCTCACCGCACCTCAGCCTCCAGGACTCAAATGACCTTCCCATTTCCAGCCTCCTGAGTAGCTGGGACAGCACAGGCGCACACCACCATGCCTGGTTAACTTTTTGTTAATTTTTTGTAGAGATGGGGTCTTGCTATATTCCTCAGGCTGGTCTCAAACTCCTGGGCCCAAGAATTCCTCCTGCCTCAGCCTCCCAAAGCACTGGGTTTACAGGTGTGAGCTACTGTGCCTGACCAGAATATAAAGCTAAATTTCAAATATCTTTTAAAAACAAGAAAGAAAAAGAGACCAGGTGCAGTGGCTCACACCTGTAATCCCAGCTACTTGGGAGGCTGAGGTGGGAGGATCACTTGGTCCTGGGAAGTCGAGGCTGCAGTCAGCCATGATTGCTCCACTGTACTCCAGCCTGGGCAATAGAGTGAGACCCAGCTTAGCTTCAAACTGTGTTTTAAAAACTTGTTTTCCTTTCCTCCTTTCTCCTCAGTCTCAAGACGTAGCTTTGAGACAAACTGCAGGTGTGTTTTCTTTGGTCTTACGACACGCGCTTTCAAACGCCCTTCCCTTTCCAACTTTACGCTCTCATGTGTCACGCACACTTATTTACCTGGATGCTTGCTAAACTCACACCATGCTCACTTATCTGGTTATAGATTTCCTTCGAAGTTTCCGGAGCTGGAGTTTCTGGGATTGTTAGGAAGCTGCAGGAGCGAGATGGAGGTGGACGCACGGGGTGTTGATGGTCGAGATGGTCTCCGGGAGCGGCGAGGCTTGAGCGAGGGAGAGAGGCAGAACCTCGATGTGCGGCTTCGGTCTGGGGCAAACGGGCTTCCCAAACACTCCTACTGGTTGGACCTCTGGCTCTTCATGCTTTTCGATGGGGTGGTGTTTGTCTTTGTGTATTTTTGGCCATGACTCGTTTGCTGATATCTAAATTAAGAAGTTGGTTCTTGAGTGAATTCTGAAAATGGCTACAAACTTATTGAATAAAGAAGACAAGACTCTCAACAGAAGAATTTCACATCTCCAAGGGACCCTTCCTTTCATTTTACACTTTACTAGTTTGCAGAACTGTATTAAATGGGTAGGATTTCACCCATGCCTAGCTAAGTTGTTAAAATTAAACCCTTTGGTTCATGTTTAAAAACTTTCCAACATCTAATGGCTTTACAGGGGCCGAATATAAAAAGCGTTTATACTTAAAAAAAAAAAAAAAAAAAAAAAAGAAGTTTCCAGAGCTGAATTCTGACACGGACCAGATATCCCTAGAATTCTCTCCTTAGCAGGGGTTTACTTCAAGGCTGGAGTTCACTCTCAGCTAGAGATTGACTGTGATTGATTTGTAAGCTGGGTGCACTCACGATGGTGCTGGCCCCTTCAGCAGATGGAACAATAATTGAAAAGAAGTCACTGGAGCGAGACACGCCACCTGGCACCTCCTAGCCCCCCATGCCTCTTCCGCAGTCCAAGCCCCTCTTCTTAAACCAGGGCTCCCTCTCCAGAAATTGGAAAATGGCAATTTTTGGAAAGGATTCTGGCCAGTCTTCCCCTTGCTAGCAACGGATAGTGAAATTCACTTTCTTTTTAACACGCCTTGCTCTTATTTTGGCTTCTTTCTGCAAGTAGCAAGCAACCTGACCCTCTTTCGGTCACAAGTCTAAACGAAATGGAATGGGAATGATAGTAAGAAAGAGGATTGCAGCACAAATATGGTCATGTGATTGTAGCACTCTCTTTTTTTTTTTTTTTTTTTTTTTTTGAGACTGAGTCTCACTCTGTCACCCAGGCTGGAATGCAGTGGCACGATCTCAGCTCACTGCAACCTCCACCTCCTGGGTTCAAGCGATTCTTGTGCCTCAGCCCCCCAAGTAGGTGGGATTACAGGTGCCCACCAACACGTCCGACTAATTTTTGTATTTTTAGTAGAGACGAGGTTCCGCCATGTTACCAGGCTGGTCTCGAACTTCTGACCTCAAGTGATCTGCCTGCCTTGGCTTCCCAAAGTGATGGGATTACAGGCGTGAGCCACTGCACCCTGCCTGTAGCACTCTTATATTTGACATTCAAGAAGGAAACAATTGCATTCCCAAACAGCTAAATATGCATGTCTAAAAACGGAAGTCTTTTTTTTTTTTTTGAACTGTCACATTCTCTCCAAAGCCCATTCATCTCAGCATCCCAAAGCTGAAGCACAGCTTCTGTGAGTTCTGTAAGAAAGTGGTAACCACAGGGCACCATTGCCAGCACAGCACAGCACAGCACAACTGCTTATAAAACGAGACTTCTGACGCTGGCTGCAGCGTCATTTTCTCACCATCCTCACGTGGGAGAGCAGTTGTCTGAATGATCGCTAAGTCATGCTCGCTAAGTCAGTGCAGTAAGAATTGCACTGCTGAAGCTAAGTCCAGGACGGCCTCTGCTGGGGCCAGAGCAGGCATGGCAATGAACTCCAAGCTGGGGCCTCCATTTGTTTTCTTTTTCTTTTCTTTTCTTTTCTTTTTTTTTTTTTGAGATGGAGTCTCACTCTGTCTTGCCCAGGCTGGAGTGCAGTGGCATGATCTCAGCTCACTGCAACCTCTACCTCCCAGGTTCAAGCGAGTCTCCTGCCTCAACCTCCCGAGTAGCTGAGATTACAGGAATGCACCACCATGCCTGGCTAATTTTTTTGTGTATTTAGTAGAGACGGGGTTTCACCACGTTGGTCGGACCGGTCTCAAACTCCTGACCTCAGGTGATCCACCCACCTCATCCTCCCAGAGTGCTGGGATTACAGGCATGAGCCACCATGCCCGGTCTCTCTATTTGTTTTCTAGCAAGCCAAAGTCTGAGTGGAAAAAACACAAACTCTCTTTCCTCTGGTCTCACACAACAATCAACACAGTAGACTTCTGTGACCCCAAAATATGTGGGGATATCTCCCCACCAGCAATCAAGCAGTCAGTTCTGCAGTGGACACCAACTGGGTGTCCTCCAATTCTATTCAATTCAATTCTGACACTCTACCTGGAGATAGCTTCAGATCCCACAGGTTGATGGCTCAGTCCCCAAGACTGTCCCCCACCTTCAGATGCCAATGGCAAGCCCCAGGTTGTGTCACCTGTGCTTCTGACTGACGGGCTATAAATCGGGGTTCCCACCACCCCTTCCTTTGGTTAATTTAATTTGCTAGAGGGGACCGGGTGCGGTGGCTCACACCTGTAATCCCAGCACTTTGGGAGGCTGAGGCGGGCGGATCACGAGGTCAGGAGATGGAGACCATCCTGGCTAACACGGTGAAACCCCATCTCTACTAAAAATACAAAAAAATTAGCCAAGTGTGGTGGTGGGCACCTGTAGTCCCAGCTACTCGGGAGGCTGAGGCAGGAGAATGGCATGAACCCAAGAGGCGGAGCTTGCAGTGAGCCAAGATCACTCCACTGCGCTCTAGCCTGGGCAACAGAGTGAGACTCCGTCTCAAAAAAAAAAAAAAAAATTGCTAGAGGGGCTCCCAGAACTCAGGGAAACACATTTACCAGTTTATTATCAAGGATATTACAAAAGATACAGATGAAGAGATACGTAGGGCAAGGTATGGGGGAAGGGGTGCGGAGCTTCCATGCACCCTCTGGGTGTACCACCCTCCAGGAACCTCCACACGTGCAGATATTCAGAAGCTCCCAGAACTCAGTCCTTTTGGGGTGTCTTGTTTTGTTTTGTTTTGTTTTTTGAGATGCAGTTTCGCTTTTGTTGCCCAGGCTAGAGTGCAATGGTGAGATCTCAGCTCACCACAACCTCTGCCTCCCACTTCAAGCCATTCTCCTGCCTCAAGCCCCCTGAATAGCTGGGATTACAGGGATGCACCATCACGTCCGGCTAATTTTGTACTTTTTGTAGAGACAGGGTTTCTCCACGTTGGTCAGGTTGGTCTCGAACTCCTGACCTCAGGTGATCCGCCTGACTTGGTCTCCCAAAGTGCTGGGATTACAGGCGTGAGCCACCGCACCTGGCAAAGGCCCATTCTTATAAGTAGTGCACGATGTTCCAGCCAACATTGTAATGGCACATTGGGCTTGGATGTTGTGATGTTATGATATATATATAGGTTTTTGTTCACACTTCCTGGTTGATAAGCGCCATAGCCCTTGTTATTTCCTAAGTGACTAAAACAATAAGTATATATTTTAAAAGCATTTGGGCTGGGCGCGGTGGCTCATGCCTATAATCCCAGCACTTTGGGAGGCCGAGGCGGGCCGATCACTTGAGGTCAGGGGTTCAAGACCAGCCTGGCCAACATGGTGGAACCTTGTCTCTACTAAAAATGCAAAAAAAAAATTAGATATGGTGGTGGGCACCTGTAATCCCAGCTACTCTGGAGGCTGAGGCATGAGAATGGCTTGAACCCGGGAGGCAGAGGTTGCAGTGAGCCAAGATCACACTACTGCACTCCAGCCTGGGCAACAGAGTGAGACTCCATCTTAAAAGAACTTAAAAGAAATAAAATATAAATAAATAAATAACATTTGGCCTTTTGTCCTTGGTTCCTGAAGCAGCTTCAGAACAGCCTCCAGAGCCATGAAAGTGAAAGACAGTCTTTTGTCATAACATTGGAGTGTTTTAGGCCTCAGAAAACAGAATCTCTCTCTCTCTTTCTGAGCTTCTCCTGCCCTCCTTTCACCTGCTCCCTTTTCTCCCCAGGGCAGGCTGTATATCTTAGTTCTTTTGCATTGCTGTAAAGGGATTCCTGAAGCTGGTAGTTTATAAAGAAAAGAGGTTTATTTGGCTCACAGTTCTGTGGGCTATACAAGAAGCATGCCTCCAGTATCTGCTTCTGGTGAGGCCTCAGGAAGCTTCTAATCGTGGCGGAAGGGGAAGGGGATATGGCGTGTGCAGACCACATGGAGAGAGAGGAAGCAAGACAGAGAGAGCAGGGAGGTGCCAGGCTCTTTTTTTTTTTTTTTTTTTTTTTTTTTTGAGACGGAGTCTGGCTCTGTCGCCCAGGCTGGAGTGCAATGGCCGGATCTCAGCTCACTGCAAGCTCCGCCTCCTGGGTTTACGCCATTCTCCTGCCTCAGCCTCCCGAGTAGCTGGGACTACAGGCGCCGCCACCACGCCCGGCTAGTTTTTTGTATTTTTTTAGTAGAGACGGGGTTTCACCGTGTTAGCCAGGATGGTCTCGATCTCCTGACCTCGTGATCCGCCCGTCTCGGCCTCCCAAAGTGCTGGGATTACAGGCTTGAGCCACCGCGCCCGGCCTGCCAGGCTCTTTTTAACAACCAGCTCTTGTGGGAACTCAGAGAGTGAGAACTCACTCATTACAGTGAGGACAGCACCAAGCTATTCACAAGGGATCCACCCCCATGACCCAAACACCTCCCACCAGGCCCCACCTCCAATACTGGGGGCCACATTTCCACATTAAATTTGGAGGGATTAAGTATCCAAACCATAGTACCTTAGAAACTAAAATATACTCTAATATTCTCCTGCCTTGAGCCAAATAAACCTCTTTTCTTTATAAATTACCTGTCTTGGAGCTGGCTATAAAAAAATTCTCTGGCCACGTGAGGTGGTTCACCCCTGTAATCCCAGCACTTTGGGAGGCCGAGGTGGGTGGATCACAAGGTCAGGAGATTGAGAACATCCTGGCCAACATGGTGAAATCCCCGTCCCTACTAAAATACAAAAAATTAGCTGGGCGTGGTGGTGCACACCTGTAGTCCCAGCTACTCAGGAGGCTGAGGCAGGGGAATCACTTGAACTCAAGAGGCAGAGATTGCAATGAGCCAAGATTGAACCACTGTACTCCAGCCTGGCGACAGAGCAAGACTCTGTCTCAAAAAAGAAAAACAAAAGAAATGATCTGTCCTATCATGTGTGATTGTAGGTGTAAAAGTTGATCATACTTCAGCTGGGCGTGGTGGCTCATGCTTGTAATTCCAGCACTTTGAGAGGCTGAAGGTGGATCACTGGAGCCTAGGAATTTGAGACCAGCCTGGGCAACAAGGTGAAACCTCATCTCTACAAAAAATACAAAAAATTAACTGGGCATGGTGGCACATGCCTGTAGTCCCAGATACTTGGGAGGCCAAGAATCGCTTGAGCTCAGGAGGTGGAGGCTGCAGTGAGCCATGATTGCACCACTATATTCCAGCCTGGGTAATAGAGCAAGACACAGAGAAAGAAAGGAAAGAAAAGAAAGGCAAGGCAAGGCAAGGAGGGAGGAAAGAAAAGAAAGGAAGAAAGGAA